TCACCACCACCATCACCATCATCACTGTCATTACCACCATGACTACCACCATCACCATCACCACTGTCATCACCACCACCACCAGCGCCATCGTCACCACCATCATTGTCATCACCATTATCACCACTGTTATCACCATCACTTTCATCATCACCACCACCAACACCATCACCATCACTGTCATCACCACCATCACCACCATCAACACCAGCATTGTCTATCATCACTACAGCCACTACTTACTGAGCATGTACTACGTGCCACGCATACCATGTTTGTTTTGTTTTTAGGCTCTTGGCAACCCTGCGAGTTGGGTATAACTTTTCCCACATTACAGACAAGGGAATTCAGGGCCCAAGAGAGGCAATCAGTGGCCCAAGATGGCACAGCAAGGTAGCAGTCTCGACAGCCACACCTTGCACTGCTGCTCCACTAAACCGAGGCTGCCTCCTAACACCTTCCTCTGAATCTCCTCCTGATTCGAAGGCACCCGTGTGCCACCCCTGGACAGTCTGTTGTTACATCACTCCCCGGACCGCCCTATAGGACACCCTTTTCCATGTAGAGTGGGCAGCGTGGTTTCTGCTGTCTGCACCTGAGCCTCGTCTGATACAGCCCAACACGTCACACGGGTGTAGACAGGGGAAGTGGGTGCAGCAAGGTGCTCAGCACGCTGGTGAGATGGAACACAGAAGCTCTGAGTCAAGTGTGCACTGCCTGCTAGACGCAGGCTGGGGTCCCCATTCCTCCCAGACAGCCGGTTACCAGACCTAGAGGACACGGGCACGGAGCTGTGCCTCTCCTGGACTCACGCCGAGCTGCAGCTCAGACCGGCTTCTTTCACCACGTCAGTAAGACACTCCGACAGGCTCGGGGAGGCACAGGGAGGAGAGCAAAGACCCTAGAATCCCAACGGACAGGCGTGAAGGATTCACAGAGCTGGATCCTAAAATACTCACTGACATTCCAAGTGGATGTGGTATCCAGAGGCCAAGGGAGACAACAAGCCCAGAGCCTGTGACCCTACACAATAGCCCTTGGAAGCATTGCCGAGGAGGGAGTCAAAACCAGGGTGCCAGCTCAGACATCTGTACCCAGGCTGAAGCGGGGGGCACAGAGGCTGGAGCTGGGGCAGCAGCAGGCTGCCTCTGACGGTCCCAGAACCCTAGAGGGGACGGCTTTCCCACAGCTACAGAGGCTCCCTGGCCTGCGGGGGAAGCCACTCAGCCCTGGGGAGTGGGAGTCTGTCTATAACCCAGGTCGGGGAGAGTGGGAGATGCCACCTTGATGCCAAGGCTCCCCAAACCACGGCCCACAGGCCAGAATGGCCCACTGCCTGTTTCGTAAGTAAAGTTTTTTATTTGCACACAGATATACTCTTTCATTTCTGTATTGCCTTGGCTACTTCTGCACTACAAGGGCTCAGTTGAATAGTTATGACAGAGTCACGTGGCCCTCAAAGTCTAAACTATTTACTAATTGGCCCTTTATAGCAGAACTTGGCTGACTCGGCGACCCCTATGTCAACCCCAGGCCCATGGGGCAGGGGTTTCCCTGAGAGTCCTGGCCAGCTCCAGACCCTCCCAGAGCCAGCAGCCGAGGATGGGCACAGATGCAGCACGTGGGATGACACCAAGTCAAGCTCAGCCCCGTAAGTAACTGACAATGCAGGTTACCGAAATGTTTTAACCTTTTCTAATGAAAAAAATCAACGCTTTCCAAGACCATCTTGTCTACAATTATTTCAAGTGACATAAAACATACTTTTCTTGTTTTTTTTTTTTCAAGATAAAATATGCCTGAAATCTATTGGGGAAAATTAAGGAATGTTTTTCCCATCTAATGCAGTAATTAGGAAGCAGATGCTGGTACAGATGTTTTACCGGCAACAGCCAAGCCTCATGATGTGTTTTCCTAATGCAGCTGAGCAACGCGTCTCCACGCTCGTAAAGTCGTGCCAGGGTCTGAATGCCGCAGTGCGCCGAGGCCACAGCTGCACACAGACCACATTGATGTGCTTCCCTTAAGGAGGAAGTGGCAGCTCTGAAAATGCTCCTTGAAGCCCTGCCGGAATGTTCCCCTGACCCCATCTGGCTTTGCTGCTCTCCTGCACCAGGCACAGGGAAGACGCTGAAAGACGGTGGTTCATGCCCCTGAGAAGACGGACCCAAGGGGCAGGGAATGTTGCCAAGGAAAACAGTCTCCACTTAGTCCTGGACATTTCACCCTGGCTACGTCTTGCAAAGGGCTGCAGAGCAAAACGTACAACTAACTAGATCAAGGGGTCATCAGTGGAAGGCTTAACTGGGGGCGGGACATCCGAGTTGGGTTTTGACAGATGCATAAGAGTTTTCCAGGGGAAAGAATCCAGGAAGGTTCAATAGCTAGAGGCAAAGTAGGACTACAGCAGAGTGGCTGGGGGCCCGGTCTGGTGAGTAGCCATGGAGGGGTTGGGGAGGGACTCGGGCGTAGGTGAGGCTCGAGGTTTTACCCTTTAGGGCACAGTGAGCCGACAGGATGGGAGCACTGCTTTGGATCGGGAAGATGATGCTGACGGCCCACAGAGATCCAGGGCTCCAGCAGAGCCCCTCCTCTGTGACCTCCTTCTGTCCCTCCAGGAGGAACAGCCACGTGCCCTCCCATCCCATTATGCTTGGCTGCTTGGTATAGCGTCCACATCTCCCCACCCTCTGGACCTGAGGTTCCTTGAACTCAGAGAAAGAGAAGAATAAAAGAAAAAAGGGGCAGAGGAGTCCTTCAATGGTGATGTCCAGGAATTAATTAGCCTGAGCTTGAGCACCAAGGAAAAGGGCAGCCTCCGCCCCACGCATCGTCTGTCCCTTCTCACCTCCTCCCGGAGCCTCCCTGCTGCCCTCCTCCCGCCCTGCAGGACCAGCAGCTCCGTGGCTTCTCCTCCCGCCCAGCCACGCACACTGCTTGGGGGCCGCCCCCTTGCCATTCGGGGCTCAGTCTCCCCAGGGCAGAGATCACAGCCCACACGCGCTTCCCAGACACTTTCCTCTCCTGCTGCCCTCGGTTCTCACGGTGGGTCTCACACAGGAGAGTGTGCGCTTCAATTCGTCCACACTGAGGTTCCACCCCTGGGTCTGTACCCAGGAGAACCAGCAACAGTCTTGAGCTGACACTCACACACCCGTGTTCACAGCAGCGTTATGCACAACAGCAAAAGCTGGAAGCCACCCGAGTGTCCACCGACAGATGAACGAATAAACAAAACGCGGTGCCACGTATACGTTCGACGGCATAGTGCTCAGCCATAAAAAGGAAGGACGTTCTGGCACGTGCTAGAGGAAAACGTTACTCTGAATAAGTCAGACACAAAAGGACAAACACCGTGTGATTTCACTTACATGCGCTCCCCGTGACGGGCAAATCCACAGAGACAGGAGGAGAGTGGAGGGTGCCGGGGAGGGGCGGGAGTCAGAGTGTGATGGGGACGGAGCTTTGGCTGCGGAGATGAGAACGTTCTGCAGGCGGATGGCGGTGACGGCTGCACAGCAATGTCAACGTGCTTAAGGCACTCAGCTGTACACTTAAAAATGGTTAAATGATGGATTTTGTTTTGGGTATTTTACCACTTAAAGAAGGAGCACATCAGGGCGCATTTGTTACGCGCAGTGGCAAAAAGCTTGCTTTTGTGACGTGATACTGTCACAGAGTTCTCGTGGGGGTGGGTGCCACACCATAATCCCGGCTCTGTCAGCCACGTCCCTCCCCACTGCACGCCTCTGGTCAGCCTCCCCCCGGCCCGCGCAGACTCCCTGCTCTCACAGACTCCGGGACTGAGCGGAGTCTGCACCCCAGCTCCAGAGGGTGGGAACAGGAGGACCCCGGCTCCGTGCACTTCTGGAAGGTGGATGGCGAGGGGGCGCGGCACTGGAACAGACCCGAGTCACGAGCCCAGCACTGGCGACACCAGCTGCGTGAGCGGGGGCTGCTCGCTGTGCTCCCCTGGGGCTCTGTGTCCTCCTGTCCACAACAGCGGAACAGTCCCCACCAAAGCGGCAGGTGAGGATCACCTGAGATGCCCCCTGAGCATCCCTGGGCACTGTGCCGGTGCCCCCGGGGTGGGGCTGGGCGGGGCGTGCGGCTGCGTGCTCTGCACTGACCTGGTTGTAGAGGGCGCAGATGTGCAAGGCCGTGTTCCCCGAGGCGTTCTGGGCGCCCATGTCCGCCCCGTAGAACAGCAGGTGCTCCAGGTGCTGCACGTGTCCGTACCTGCAGGCCTGAAACACAGAGCCCACGCTGTGAACCGGGCGCCCCCAGCACGACGGCCACGCGCTCACGCACAGAGAACCCCGTGGCGGGCAGGGCCTGTGCCGACCCCAACCAGCCCACCTTCCTGCGCCAGGGCCTGCTGCACCCCGAGGTTCAGGGTGGCCCCCAGACCCCCGGCTGCTGATCAGGGAGAAGAAGTCTCGCAACTGGTTTGGGCACTTACACTTGGCTGTTAGAGGGTCTGGGAAGGGGCCTCCAAGTTCCTTCCATTCAGACCCAGGGGCCTAGAAGCCCAGAGACATACAGGAAGTTGTCCCCCCGACCTCAGTGCCCAGCCCCATGAAGCGCAAGCCAGGTTCTCCAAGCCCCTCTCCAGGGAGGTGGCTCGCAGCCTCTTTCTGCCGCTGCATCCGGGGGCCGAACCCGTGTCTGTCCTTCTATGTGTTAGGGGCAGCCCCACTGTCACTTTCAGTGTAATCCAGCCCCTAAGCAGGTTGCAGGAGGCAGTGACAGGGCAGCCCCAATGTGATCGACCCTCTCCAGGCCCTTCTGGGGCAAGGAGTAGGGGTGACACGTGTGACTTATGAACCATCAGGGGCTGGGATCAGGCAGATCCGGGCTCGAGTCACGGACATTCTGTTTATCAGAACTTTCACCTTGGAGCCCACCTATGTTGTCACCTGGTAACGGGAACGACACTGCACCTTGCAGGGTTTGTATGAGAATCACGTGGGACAAGGGACCCCACAAGGCCTCACATGAGGCCAGGCGCCCGGCAGTGCTCAATAAGCCAGTGCGACCCCTCTCCACCCCAGCTCACAGGGAGCAAGGAGGTCCCCGCACAGGTGACGAGGGTGCCCCTATCCACCGCACGCTGCTCGACACTGGGGACCGCAGCCTCGGACAGCGAGAAACGTGAGTCCTGACCCCACACTTCTCCCCTCGAGGGTCGGAAAGGCAACAGGACAGCCACACCGAGGGCAGGCAGCCACTGGGTGGCCAGAGCACGGGGCTCCAGGGCAGACCCAGCACGAGCTCTGGTTAATCACACATTTCTGATAATTGAGACAGAGCGAGGTGAACTTCACCTCTGCAGGGTCTAGGAAAAGGACCTACACCTGGGCAATTAATAGCGAGGGAAGATACTGAAACTATTAATTTGATGAGCTTTTAAAAAACCCCAAGAAACATCCATTTTCACAGCAGTGCCTCCCGCGAAATCTCATCAATTTATAAAGCAGATCCTTCCCGTAGATGTTGCTGCTTTTAGCTGCCCTGCCCCCATGCCCCTTCTTCTGGAGCAGCACCTGTACTTGGGGACCCAACTCTACTCTCGGAGGTCCAGGGAAGGCCTGCCCACCCTGCTCCTGCAGAGGCACAGGACATAAGCCAGAGTGAGAGTTCCCTCTTCCCAGGCAAGGCTGAGGGACGCCCGTGCGACCCTAGAGAACCTGCAACGTCCCAAGCTGCAACACCTGTCAGAATTATGGGAAAGAGAGGTCCTGTGTTCTTCCGGGACGGTCAGCAGGAAAACTGCAGAACCCTGGAGGTGCCAGGGCCTGTCAATGCAGGAGGGTGCAAGGCGGGGAGAGAGAACAAGAGAGACCAGGAGACGAGAGACACACACAGACTAAGCCAAGACGACACTGTCTGAGCCCGTCTAAGCTACCCTGTCTCTGGATTCTCAGGGTCAGAAAGACCAGGCATAATCTCCGCCCCCACCGTGCCACCCAAAAACCAGTTTGAGTTGGGATCTTTGCTCCCTAAACCGAAGGATCTCTGGCTACCCAGCGCTCCCCAAAGGACTTGTAGCAACACTTTGCTACAGCTTAATTTAATTGCTTCATAATCAATAAAGAAGAGAACTTTGTTACCATAAAAAATGCCGCACAATTAATCCACACTCATTATTCCCCTCGCCGGTTAATCTAAATGTATAAGGTTTAAGTTACACCAGTGGGACAGCCCTGAGCACTCCCCACTTGACAGGGGTCAAACACCATCAGTGCCAAGGGACAAAATGCAGCCACTGGCCCTGGACAGACAGTTTGAGAGACTCGTCCTCAAGAGCATCCTTCCCTGTGTCTTCTGTCCCTGTGACTATGGCTTTACAACACGCAAAGCCAGGAAACACAGAAAAGTGCTAAAACAAACATCACCCGCAATCCCACAATCTTAAATCTACCAGCAGGTTTTCTTTAAAGGATCATCTCAGCTAGTCTCTTGTCTTTAATCCCCGGTGGTCGAAGCACAGCGCTTGCTGAGAAAGAGGCCGCTGGCAGGGTGTGGAGGGAATCCCAGCAAGGTGGCAGCTGCACAGGCCAGGGGGCGGCGGTGGCCAGGGGGACGCGGCCAGCGAGCGCATGAAGGGAGAAGGGAGGGACAAAATGGCACAGCAGAAACCAGAACAAACCCTTGGCACTGGCTTGGGATGGGGTAAGCGTGAACCCGCATCCTCCACACAGAGAGAAATGGAAGTGCAGATGCACGTACACGCACACGTCCTGACTCTGGCCCCGAGAGGGTGTGGGGGCAGCCGTCAGCACACCTGGCACCCGGACCTCACTCTCTAAACACCATTCTACGCCACACAGAACCAGGCCTCCTCAGAGAGATGGCCGAGTCCAAGGCTGAGGCAGGAAAAGAACAAGAGCTTGGAATACTTTGTTGTGCCAGAAGAAGAGGAAGTGTCCCCAAGTTGATGGGGACATGTGCAAGGAGCCATCTTGACGGGGCACCCATTGGCTAAAACTGAGAGAACAACAGATTGTCACCTACAGAATAAACAGAAATCTGCGTGTCTACCTTGTTATAAACAAATGAATAGACAAGAAGAGAAACTTCTTTTATATAACTGAAAGCCAACTAATAAATGTGGAAGCGATGATAGCATTCTAGAAGTGTCCATTTAGGAACCATGACAGTGATAATTAATTCGGGCGAGAAAAGCCAGTGGATGCCAAAACCAGCTGGTGAGCAAATGGATGGATTTTTACGTCGGCTCTGAGACCACCACGAAAGGCCCACTAATTACAAAGGAGAAGAGCGTAGCCGTGTTCGAGAAACCCGGCAGCCCCAGGCGGTCAGGAGCTCCGAGTGAGCGTCACTGGTAACAGGCAAACGGTCACCGAGCACCCTTGAGAGGATGCCACCCCAAGCGCACAGCGTCGACTCTAAGACAGTCCTGCCAAAGCGCGTAGCCCGGATCTCACGAGCAGACGCTGCACGGACCCAAGCTGAGCCAAAATGACCACCCTTCAAGGGTCACGGCCACGAGCACCCAGGGAGACCGAGGCACTCGGGTCCCAGACTGAACCCTTCTGCCGTGAGGGACAAGATCGGGCCAAGTGGCAGCGCTCGAACGTGGTCTCTGAGCGAAGGGCACACGAGTGTTCCCTGTGCTACTCCTACAACTCTTCCGTAAGTTCAAAATAAAATAGTCGTCTACAATTTTAAAAAGAAAGTACCTGCATGACACAAAGATACCAGAAGTGTGGAAGTAAGAAGGCCGTCCACCCCCAGGTTAAGCAATGCTCACCCATTTCCTGTTTTGAAAAGGCGGCTGTGCTTTCTGGCCGTAAAGACAGCTTAGGGGGATGGGTAAGAGGCTGGAGAACAACCATGGGTAGGACAGACCCTGCCCCGCCCTCTGGCACCCTAGCCCATTCTTGAGGCGCTCCTGGGAGAATGCGTGTGGGGGCTCCACCCAGACCTGCCGCCCCTGAACCTCCCGGATCAGGCCTGGGCGGGTGCATTTGGATAATGCTCCCCAGAGAGTCTCAGTTCACCCCGACTAAGCCTGGCATCTCACCCACCACTTGGCAACCGCACAATTTGGTATAAATTACAGGGGGGAAAAAAAAAGAAGGGTGCCCTTTCCTTTAGGCACTTTACTGCCACCTGCTGGACAGCTGTGATAAACATCCATCCTAACATCACAGCCCGGGGAACGGTGCCCCCTGGGGTTGTGCGACACCCAGCACAGCGGCCGGAGCAACGTGGCGTTGGCCACGCTGCAGACGAGCAGCGAATGTCTGCTGAGGTGGACCCGCCGCTGCTTCCGCGTGCCCCGTGCCCCAGTAAAACTGTCCATCCAAACGACACTCAGCCGTTCCCCTCCAGCACGAGCTTTATGGCACGAGGTGGCCGTCACAGGCTACCAGAACGCAGCTCTCGTCATCGCAGCCCTGTGTGGTCAGGAAGCAGGCTGCCCGTCAGCAAAGGGACAACGTCTTGTCCCAACACATGCAAACACCCCTTGCTGGGCCTGAGCCGCCACCTGCTCCACGGCCCCACATCCCACGGTTTTCAAAGCCCAGCTGTGGTCTTCCCACCAGACCGGCAGTGAGGGGAGACTGAGGCGCGTGGAGCAGTCTGGGAACTGAGGCAGGGTACGGCCTGTGGGGCAAAGCAGACAGTGGCTCATTCTGCTCCCATCAGTTTATGGGCTGCACTGTGTCCCCACGACCTCCACATGTTGACGTTCTAACCCCCAGGACCTGGGAACATGACTGTATGTGAAGACAGGTCCCTGGCACTGTCCCTACAGAGCCCCTTGCTCTTAGAACACGGCTTTTTGACTCTGCCATTAGACCTGACGGGGGGATAGGGTGGCCCTCTGCCATCCTGGTCTCGGGTTGCCACCCCCCACCCGCTCTCCTCTGTTCCCCCAGGGCCCCAAGGAGTCTGGGCTCAAGCTTGGTGGCCCTCCTTCCCCCTGAAGACCCCTGGAGAAAGGTGGCCTTGTTTATTTCTCCAAATGGAGCCTTGCTGGGCAAGGTGGAGCCTGGAAAACACGCTCCTAGTGCGTGGAAATCAGGCTTCACACTGGGGCACCTGCCGTCAGGGTGCCCAGGATGGTGGGGGCCTGGAGCGCACGGGGCTCCTAGGAAGCGGGCGCGCACCCCACAGCGCCAGTGCACTACTGCTGTGCGAACCGCGACAGCCTCGCCTAATCTTCCAGTTGCTCCGGAGGAGTCAGAAATGGGTACTTGTATGTAAATATGTCTATTTTTGAATGCTGACATTCACACTTTTAATGAATTTTTAATTCACATTTTTTAGGAACTCTGGGTAGGCCAGACAAAATACCTTGTTATGCTAGGACCCGACCTGCGGGCCGCCCCGCCCGGCCCGGGGGTGACAGCACAATGGGAGGTGGGTGGGCCAGATGGGAGGAAAAGGCAGCCTGCGCACCTGGTGGATCTCGTGCCAGCCGTTCTCGTCTTTGCAGCACACGGTGGCGTGTTCGTGCAGGAGGAGCTCGCAGCAGTAGGGGTCGCCCCCAACGATGGCCGTGTGATACAGGGGCGTGAGGCCGTAGCTGTCTTTGTAATCTGGGGACGCTCCAAGCTCTAGCAGGGTCTAGGAAAAAAAAATCAGAAGTTACAGTCATTGGTCTCATGGCCCCTTTTGCCCAGACTGAGACCTCAGGAAAGAAGCAGGAGGCCCACTGTCCCCCAGGCCAAGGCCAACCTGTGCGTGGGCTCCCGGTGCTATCACCGAGTCCCCAGAACTAAGGATTTAACTTTAGACAGAGAAGTTTCTGGCCCTGAAATAGCAACGGTGCCTGGGTACACAGGACTGGCTGACACTCAGGAGATGAGGGGACACCGTGCAGATGTGGACCTGTGACACTCGGACCAGTCCGTGGCCTGGTAACCCCTCTGTCCCGTGGTGTATCGTGGACAGCAATGAAGTGAAGGCGACATTTGCGGCAAAGAGAAAGCCGCACTATTCAACCTGAACGCATCGCAGAAGACACGCTCCACGTGCACTCTGAGCGTGGCGAACCTCTCGAGCGTCACTGAGACGCAGCTGATTTCCGAGGAAGTCAGAAAAGGTGCGGCTACAATCAAGGTGGGAAGCTCCAGACTTTAGGGAGCAGCCCCGTCTCGGGTCCGCCTGCAGCGGCGCGTCCCTCTCCCTCCTCACTCGGGCTCTGATGGAGAGCGGGCCTGAGGCGGTGGCCATTCTATCCGGGTGCTTCCAAACTCAGCATTAGAACAGGTCAAACAGGCACAGAGACAGCGGCCGGAGGAAGACGAAGGGGAGACCCACACCCAGGACTGGCTTCCGAAGACCCCGAGGCCGCCGCAGCAGCAGCAGGGCTGGGCCAGTGCCTGTGGGCAGGGTTTGCAGCCTCCTCCTGTGGGTGGGGTGAAAAGACAAGCCCTTCGACTGCCATAACGGGAGAAAGACAACTTTTCGTCAACAGTGAGTTACAAAAGCAGTGATACCAAGGAGAGAGGGCAGGAGAGCCTCGAGCCTGCTGCAACTGGAACCTGACTCACAACGCCTTCGGGGTCGGGCACCCTGGGGATGGGATGGGACGGGACAGGGGCTGCTACAGGGGACCAGACAGGAGTGGGGATGTCACCCGCGTAAGCCAGGCTCCGGGATTTACCTTCAGGGCAACTTGGTTCCTTGTCCGGGCGGCTTTGTGCAGGGCGGTCATCCCATCTTTGGCACGGAAGTCCAGGTGAGCCCCACCGTTTCTGAGAGCTTTGATGACCTCCACAGAGTCGTCCAGCTGGGCGGCTAAGGTCAGAGGGGTCTCTGAGGGACCCAAACACATGCACTTTAGAACCAACATTTAGGGAAAGCCACCAAGTCCCACTGCTCGCGGAGCCCCGTTCAAGTGCCTAAAACTAAGCTTAAAGAACTGACCCCAGGGGTTACAGCTCCCACCTGTGGACCCCACAGTCCCCACAGACAGTGTGGCTCAGGCAACCCTGGTGCGATGTCGTGACTCGTGGGGTCACGTGAAAATCACGATGGTGGCAGAGGTGGGGAGTCAACAGGATTGCGTTGTGCCCGCGAGCACAGGAGGCTTCCCTGCTCTCTTCACTCGGAGGACATGGACCCTGCGGCGCCCTCTGGATCTCCCGTCCTCAAGGAGGGATCCATCAGGGCCCTAACTAGAGATCTACAAGGCAGTCGCTGCTTTTCCTCACTCAATTTCCACGTCTTGGTGGACGCCGGGGACTGGGCTGTGGGGGCACAAACGCAAATAAGCCGTGGGGTCTGTGCCCTCGGGAGCTCCCACCAGGGAGAGAGGAAACCTTCGTTTGTTGGCGCAGGGCAGGATGACCCTCGAGGGAAGAGGATGAGGCCTGCCTTGGGGGGACGAGGGCTAAGAAGGCCCCCGCCCCACGTGCATGACCATGGACCAGTCTGCAGCCGGCTGGGGACGTCGGCATTTGCTACAAGACGTCTTTCCCTTTGCTCCTCACTTTCCTACCGTGCCGACCAGCCCACTGCTGCGCAAGGTGCGCCATTCTGGCCATTCTGTCGTGGTTGATTGGAAAGGATTCCGCATTGCAGGAAAGCACCAAGAGCACCATGACAGCGCACAAGCCCCCGTGACCCAGCAACGCCCGTGGTTACCAGTCCCTCCGTCTGCAAGCACATCCTAAGGGTAAAGCCTTGGGACAGCTGACCTGCGGCGAGTGCCCTCCTGGCACTCACTCCGTCCGTCACCCTTCGTCCCTAGAAAGGGCACCTCCATGGTGACTCAGACTGAATACGCCCATCTGTTTTCAATTCTGACATTTATTCATTCACGAACGGGCGCTGTTCTGAGCGCTTTGTAAACTCACCGTGGGAACCACTCTGTATTGACTTTTCGTGGTGAGGTGCACAGGCCTAACCCGCTCCTTGTGACTAGCCTGTCATGTGTAGACACGTCCCAGCGTGTGTCTGCGATACGCAGTTCGTACCTCCTCTCCTGATGTTAACAGCACACGGCCCGTTTTCCCCAATTACGACCAATGCACTCATAGATGCTGCTGCACACAGGTATGTTGTGTACCCACAAGAGGGACCTCCTTATGCAGAGGTTTTAAAGAAAAATAGGGATTTTTCTAGAACAACCTAAGAGACTTTGGTGACAGTGGGGGATGTTTCTTACACAGAAAATAACAAAAAGGCAAGGAAGGCACAGCACGGCGAGGGGCATGCAGGGAGCGTGGCCAGAGCCCTGCGTGTGTGCAGAGGCCTGGGAATGGGGCAGACGCACAGGCAGAAGCAAACTCAAGGACAGGCCCTCGCCCTCTGGAGGAAAGACACGAGTGGTCAGCCCCCCTCTCTGCCTCCCCCGGCGGCTTCCCAGGCCAAGGCACCAGTGTCCGAAGGCATCCAAGGGTCTCTTCCTTGCAGCAAAGACTGCTTAGGGAGGGTGGTGGGTGGGGGAGCCACAGATACTCAAAAGGCATAAAAGATGGGCCGTCGGGAGCCACGAATATCAAAGCTGAAAACTCCAATCTCTTACAACAACTTAGTGAGTATGTTGATGCTCATTTGGGCCAAGGTGAACCTTCAGAAGAATTAGGATTTTTCTTCCTTATTTGGCTGTCCACACATGCCCAGTGCAAAAGTTACCCGGTCCAAAGTAGATTAAAAAAAAAAAAAGATCATACCATGCCATTTTTACAGCTGAGGACCGTGACTTTTACACGTGAGAATGCTGTCTCAGAGCGAGGGGCAAGCAGTAAGGCCAGAACTGAGGCTGAATGGTGACTTCTGACGCCACATTACAGACCCTGTAGCTGAGCCGCGCCGTGGATGGTGTCGGGCACACAGAGCACGGCCGGACAGACACGCAGGCGGAGGAAACCGCACCACGTGGTTAACAGCTGTGTCTTCTTACAGGAGGGGCAGCTTCGGCGCTTGGACGACATCCAGGGCCAATGGCACACGGCAGCCTTCTCAATGGTTCCAGAAGCCCCCCCCCAGATGATGTTCCAGGCTCACCACATCCACTGCCAGCCAGGACCCACCCTGGTGACGTCAGGAGAGCCCTCCGCTCCCTCGGCCTCGACGCACATTCGCAAAGGGGACAACCAGTGGGGCTCCACGTTTGGGGCCGACGGAACCACCCCAAGGAGAGGCCGTTCAGTCAGCTGTAACCCTGTGACATTACGGGGCTGCCCTGTCTGTGCAATCAGTGACTCTGTCGCCACTCTAATGAGCGTGGGAATTCCACAGCCATCTGGCACCACGATTCTCAAAAATATTCTTCAGTTTTTGCATTTTGAAATTTCTTTGGTTTTAAAACTATACCGGAACCTCAACAAGTATAAGCTCAGAAGTGGCCCCAGTCTGCCGCAACCTGAATGGCTGCCTGGGTAGAAACACCTGTGATCTCTTGAGATGAACAGGAAGACACACAGACCCTCCAGGCTAGAGACCGACCGTAGCTCGTGGCTCTAGGGAGTGACCAGACCGTGCTTCCAAAGGCACCAACAGGAAGAGGTGACAAGGAGGGGGTCCCCTCGAAGCACAGCAGGAGGGCACCAGCCCCGGCCATCCGTCCTGACATTGGGGTGTGACGCGGCGTCAGGAGGGCACACGGTGGGAGGCGTGGGAGCGCTCGGGACAGCCGCCGCGACCCAGCAGGGGCAAAGCCACGCAGGCTGCAGCGTGCGCTGTTCCTGGCTGCATCCACGCACCTAGAAGGACAGGCCACAGCAACCAGAGGCTGGAGAGCGATTCCTCCTACGGGAGGCGATGACTCATGGCAGTAACAACCGCTTCCTCCCCTGACCTCCCGCAGGTTTCTTCGAAAATAATAATTCTGGAGGCTGAGGGGCTCTCTGATGGAAACCGGGATGTGAGAGAAGACAGCAGACGTGTTAATACAAATGTAGGAAAGAACCTCATGGAAGGGCCGGGGGTCTAAGGACTGGCCCAGGCACTCTGGAGGTGAGTGGAGTCGGTAAGACTGAAGGCACAGGGAACCAACGGAGCAGCGCTGGGTAGTAACCCCGACAGAAAGCGAATGCTCACGAGTCTACGCTGATGTATTACTAAATAAGCAAATGAATAAATAAATGTATCAGGCAGAAGAACAGATCTCCCACGCAGACACGCTCCAATTTATGTAGCTCTCTGCCCTCCAGGAGGTGGCCCGAGCTCCCCACCCTCAATCGTGGGTGCACACAGTGACTTCTTACAGTGGAGCAACCCCCCAGACACGACCAGGCAACATCGAGGGCAACATCAAAAGCCGCCAGTCACGGTGACGGTGTGGACCTTGACGGGACGTGATGAGAAGGGCTCGCTACTTCTGCGCTCTTCCTCCCAAACCCACAAGCCAGTCAGATCATGAAAAAAACAGCAGACAAACCCCCATAAAGGCACATCCTCCAAAAGGTCTGATCAGTCCCTCTTGAAACGGTCATGGTCATCAAATACAAGGGAAGTCCAAGAAACTGTCACAGCCAAGAGGAGCCTAAGGAGACAGGACAACTACACGTCCTGTGGGATCCCCCATGAAACCCTAGAACAGAACTAGGAAAATATTAGGGGAAAACTAAGGCAATCTGAACCAAGTACGGACTTAGTTAACAATAACACATCGACACTGGTTCACTAGTTGTGACAAATATACCGTATTATTAATAAAACAAGACGTTAATAACGAGGGAAACTGGATACGGGGTATACGGAAACTCTCTACATTTTGCAATTATTCTATAAATCCAAAACTGCTCTAAAATGAGAAGTTTATTTTAAAAAATACCTCACGGCTCTTGCTTTGGGGTAGAGAGTTTCATGTAAAAATGCTGCTGCCCACAGACGGGGAGAAAATATTTGCAAAAAACTTATAAAGTACTTGTATCCAAAATATTCAGGGAACTCTTAAAATTCAACGAGAAAACACACATTAAAAAGTGGGCAAAATCTCTAAACAGACACCCCACAAAAGAAGATATACAGGTGGCAGATAAACTTATGAAAAGACGCCCCACGTCAGATGTCCTCAGGGAATTGAAAATGAAATCACTTGTAGCAGATACCACTGCACATCTAGTAGAACGGCCAAACTCCAAAACCCCGACACCACCAAATGCTGGTGAGGAAGTGGAGCCGCAGGAACTCTCCACACTGCTGCTGGGAGTGCAGAAGGGTACGGCCACTTTGGGAGACAGTTGGGCAGGTCCCTACAAAACTAAACTTACTCTGGCAATACAATCCAGCAATTGCGCTCCTAGGTGTTTCCCAAAACAAGTTGAAAACCTACGTCCACACAGAAATCTAAATGTTAATGTTTACGGCAAGCTTTATTTGATAACTGTCAAAAACTGCAAACCACCAAGATGTCCTTCAGTGACTGAATGGATAAACTGTGGGACATTCAAAGAAATATTATTCGGCACTAAAAAGAAGTGAGCCGTCAAGCCATGAAGAGATACGGACCGAGGAAGCTTAAACGCACGTCGCCAAGGGAAAGGGGCTGATCTGGAAAGGTACGTGCTGTACGACTGCAGCTCTCTGACATTCTAGAAAGGGCAAAGCTACGGAGATGATAAAAGGATCAGTGGTCGCCAGGGGTGAGAGGAGAGGAGAGGTGAACAGGTAGAGCACAGAGGATTTCTAGGGCAGTGACACCATCCTGTATGATGCTACAGCCGTGGATACAGGACAGTAAGCACCTGTCTGAACCCACAGAATGTGCGACACTGAGAGTGGACCCTAACGTCAACTATGCACTTGAGTCATTGCGACCCATGCACCACACCGGTGCCAGCTGCTGATGACAGGGGGACATGCGG